CCTTATGTGTGAGCTCACCGCTATAAATTTCCCTCTGAGGACTGCTTTCATTGCATTCCCACATATTGTGGTAAATTGTATTTACATTTTCACTTGTTTATAGGTTTTTTTTTAATTTCTTGTGTGACCCATTGGTTGTTCAGGAGGTTGTTGTTTAATTTCCAAGTGTTTATGTAGTTTTTGGAGATCCTTTCGTCATTAATTTCCAATTTCATTGCACTGTGGTGAGAAAATATGCATGGGATAATTTTAATTCTTTTGCATTTAGGTAGGTATGCTCTCTGAGCTAGAATGTGGTCTATTTTAGAGAAAATTCCACATGCAGCTGATAAAAATGTGTTTTCTGATGTGGTGGGGTAGAACACTCTGTATACATCTCCTAAGTCCATTTGTTCACGGCTTTGGTTCAGATCTGTTATTTCCTTGCTGATTTTTTGTCCAGTTGACCTATCTCTTTGTGTCAGTGGGGTATTGCGGTCCCCTATTACAATAGTGTTATTAATTGTATGAGTTTTTATGTCTGGTAAGATTTGTCTTACATAGTTTGGTGCATACATGTTTATGATTGTTATCTTGTCCTCTTGCAGTTTTCCCCTAACAAGTATGTAGTGACCTTCTTTTCTTTATCTCTTTTGATTGTTGTCGGTTTGAAGTTTACATTGTCTGCAAACATAATAGCTACACCTGCTCTTTTCTGGGTTCCTATTGCATGGAGGATTGTTTTCCATCCTTTGACTTTCAGTCTGTGGCTTTCCTTTTGAGCAAAATGTGTTTCCTGTATACAGCATATTGTTGGATTTTGATTCTTAATCCACTGTGCCAGTCTGTTTGAGTGGTAAATTGAAGCCATTTACATTTATGGTTATAACCAATATGTGTTGACTTATCATTGACATGTTATTTACTTGCTGTTGGTTTCCTACTTTTCCTACCTGTTTAATTGGTTGGTCTTCTTTTCAGTTCCTTTCTATTATTGTTCTTGAAATTGCGCTCATGTTTTTCTTTGTCTAGAATATCCTTTAGTACTTTTTGCAACAGTGGTTTAGCACTCATGAAGTTCTTCAGTTGTTCTTTGTTGTGGAAATGTTTTATTTCTCTGTTGACTTTGAAAGAAAGTTTGGTAGAGTACATCAGTCTTGGTTGGAAGCTGTTTTGTCTCAGGACCTATAATACTTCGCTCCAAGCTCTTCTTGATTGGATGGTTTGTGCTGAGAAGTCTGCCGTGATTCTGATTGCCTTTCCTTTATAGGTAATCTGTTTCTTTTCACTAGCAACTTTTACTATTCTGTTCTTTTGCTGGAGATCTGGGATCTTGACTATTATATGTCTGGGTGTAGTTTTATTTTGGTTATGGTTAGTTGAAGATCTATATGCCTCATTTACTGTATGTCAGGTTCTGTTTCCATGCTTGGGAAATTTTCTGCTATTATTTCTCTAAATATTATTTATGTCATTTGTGTTGCCTCCTGCTGTTTCATTGACTCCTGTCAGTTGTACATTATTCCTGTTTGCCTTGTCTCGTAGCTATTGAATTGATTTTTCCTGATTCCTTATTGACTTTAAGAGATCCTTTGTTTCACGATTGCTAGCTGCCATGCTGTCCTCAAGATCTGAAATTCTATCTTCGGCTTCATTCAAGTGGTTTTGGCAGCTTTCAATGGAAGCTTTGATTTCCTGGATATCTCTATGAATCTGCTTCATGCATTCCAATTCATTTCTGTATTTTTCATTTAATGTTTCTGTTCATTGATGTTCATCTATTTTTTTATATGTTTCTTCTTTAGATGTGCTGAGCAGTTCTTTCATTATTATTGTCATTTCATTTTTTCCTGAGGGATTATTTCTGATCTGATCTCTTCTGTGGCCTGATGGAGTTGTTTCTTCACTTCCATTGCAATCATTTCAGCAATTTCAGTAGTGTGTTTACCAAGTTCTCCTATTTCGATGTGTCCTGGACTTGTTCTGAGAGAAGTGGAGTTCTGAGATTGCGTTTTAGTCCTTCATCTTGTCATGTTTGATGTTGGTGGTAAAGCACTCAGTCCCTTTCCTCCCTGTCAGCCCAGCAAAGGTCACTAACCTCCCTAACTTTCCTGGTGGTCAAACTTGCCCTTCATGGCCCTGGGGTGTACTGCTTAGTTTGGGTTCTTCCAGCAGATGGTGAAATTTACCTAGTTCTCCCAGGTCTTCAACACCAATCATGATGTCGTCAGGTCACAGACAGTCTGATCCAATGTCTCCAATCAGCTCAGGGCACAAGTATGAACCAGAAATGGTCTGCACTGGTTGCGTTATCACAGACCACTTGGTCCTGTGACTCCAGGGAGTTCAGGGTGAAGGTAGAGCCCAGACACGGACTGCAGGGTCTTCAGTTTGTGGGCTGCCTGGTTCTGTGTCTGCAGACTTTCACCGCAAGCACAGGAACCAGAGGTGGGCTGCCTTGGCAGTGATCACAGACTGCCTGTTTCCGCGTTCCAACCCAGACTCGAACCCTGGAACCCAGACGCAAATCGCGGCTTCAGTAGTTTTGTGGAGCACCTGCCCTGGGGCTTCACGTGTCACCAGGCACGCGTGGGGGTGCCCCTCAGAAACCCCAGTGTTAGTGGGTTTGTGAGTCCCTTGAGACAGCCTCCTATGTCTAAAATGTTTTTGTCTATTCTACTTCCTTTGCTTTTCCATGTAACTTTGAGAGTCAGTTTGTCAGTTTCTACAAAGAAATTTCATAGGGATTTTAAATGTAATTGTGTTGAATCTATAGGTTAATTTGGGTGAATAATTGAGATCACAACAATATGTAGTATTTCAGTCAGTGAGCATGTCTTACTTAGCTATTCTCTGATTTCTTTCATCAGTGTTATAATTTCAACCTTCAGATCTTATATAATCGAGTTAAACGTAATTAGTATTTTATGTTTTCCAGAGCCTTTGTATGATACTTCTTTAAAATGTAAACTTCCCAATTTTATTTCTCAAGTTGATTTTGTATGTTGACCTTGTATGCTGTGACTTTAGTAGATTCACATATGAGTTCTCATAGCTTTTTTGTGGTATTTTCTATGTACATAATTGTGTCATCTTCACGGATAATTTTTTACCTTCTAATCTTGTATTTCTTTATCACAGAATTTTTATTTGACATAGTTTATTTGTGGTTAATAAAAGTATATGCTATTCTAATGTTATCTGAAAATTTTTTGTATGTTTGCAGAGATCATTTAGATGATCCACTAGATGATACTGCTACTGTATTTCAGCAACTGGAACAGTTGTGCACTGTCAGCAGATGTGAATATGAAAAGACATGCACTCTGCTTGTACAGTTGTTTGACCAAAATGCACAGAATTACCAAAAACTTCTGCATTCACCTTCTCGGATAACTGTGGACATGGAAATTCAAGAAGGTCAGTAAATTTTATGTGAGGATTAATAAAACATGTGAGTAAATATTATGTGAATATTATGTGAATATTAAGTACCACAAATCACTTTAATAATCTTACTATAAATTATGTGTATGTATTTTCCCCAATTTCTGGTCCCTTAGTAATCTATTAGTTTTATTAACCTGGTAGTATTTTGCTAGCTTCTTATTTGATTTTTTTGTTTTTTTCTGGTACTGGGAATTGAACTCACCACATCGCGCTTGCCAGGCAGGCACTGTTCTGCTGAGCTAAATCCCCATCCCCTCCTATTTGATTTTGTAATCCTCCTTTATAAGATTTTTAGGAAATACTTCTCTGTGGCATTCATATCAAAAGCTGATAATGATCCTTGAACAGATAAGTCTCTTTTTAAATGTTTATGTGTCCTTCATTTCTATAGTAGGTTGATTGAAACCAGGGCCTCATACATGCCAGGCAAACACTGTGCCCCTTGAGCTACATCCCCACCCATTTTTAAATTTTAAGACAGGCTAAGTTGCCCAGGATAGCAAACTTGTGATCCTCCTTTCAGATAGCTAGGATTTCAGGTGTATAGCACTGTACCTGTCCATTTTTCAGTGTTTTAAATGAGATGGTTTATTATAAGAATGAAATTGGGTTTATGCAACAGTTTAATTATAGTTCCAGAATTTTTTCCTATATTTATTTTTTTCTCGTGTTGGAAAGTGAGTTTGGTAAGGAATCAAATTCAGATTTGCTTCCAATGATTTCCCATCTTCACACTTTGAAAATTATTAAGTATCAAATACATAGAAAAACATATATATATATGTATAGGGAGAGAGATACAGAATAGTAGTTAAAATGAAACATCATCTCTGTTAAAGAGTAAGTCATTGCCTGTATCTCTGCAGCATCCTTTGTTCATCTTTCTGAATCTGTCCTCCTTCTTACCAACAGAATACTTAATAATCATTTTTCTTTATCAGTTGATACCTTTTCTTCAGTTTTACCATGCATAGATTCTGAAAATAATATATGATTTTGCATTTTTGAACTGTAAACAAATGGAATTATATTTTTCTACAACTTATTTTATCAGTATTTCTTAGTAAAGCATTTGTGAAAGCTTACATTGATGCACATACCTTAATTTTCTCTTGCTTGCACTCTTAGGTTGTTTAAATATAGTATAATTCATTTATGATTCCCTTGTCAGTGGGTATTTGTTATTTGCCTTATTTTTTGCTAATACAGTGTTGCTGTAAGGTTGTGGTGTGTAAGTAACATAATAAGCTTTTTAAAAACTATTTTATAAACTAATTTTCCCTACTTTACATCTGCCAATAGTGTTTATGAGTTTCCATTGATACCTACCAGGAATTGGCAGCTTTGTTTGTGAAGTATTTTAGAACTCTGTGAATGTTTTATAACTGTTGCAACTCTTCAACTCTGCTTTTACAGTTGGGATGCAGCCATATATGTGTGGCTGTGTTCTAGTAAAATTCCACATATAAAAGTGGGAGGCTGTGCTACAGACTAGCTTGCTGCACCAACCTAGATTCTCACTAACCAGCTCATATTATTACACTCAAATTTTTGACAGTCTAGTTGAGATAATGTACATCATGAGTATTTTAATTCCCCTGTTTAAGTTAAACATTATTTCATACATACTGTTGGTTGTGTCATCTCCAGTAATATATGTGCATTTCTTGTTCAGTTCCCATTTACTACTGGATTATATGTCTTTCTCTGACTGATTTTCGGGAGCCATATATATATATGTACAAGAAAGACAAACATGTTTGGTTTGTTTCTTTTGATTTTGTTTTACATTTGTTCACATTGCTTTGCTTTGTTTGATAGTGTTGAGATCAAACCCAGGGCCTTATGCATGCTACGCAAGAACTCCACCACTGAGCTGTACCTTCATAACCTTTATATATTTTTTAAACAAACCATTTTCTTTTGAATTTTAAATAGTATTTTCAAATTTGTGACTTTACTTTGCATATCTGCTATCTTACATATTTCATATCAAACTTGATTTGAATTAATTTAATTTTTTTAAAACATAGTATATTTACGTTATAAAAAATTGTGTTCTATTCTAGTAGTCCATTCCTTTCTACCATTCATCTCTAGCAAGTAGCCATCCATACTAGTTTTGCATCTTTCCAAAGTTTCTGTATGCATGTACAAATACTTAAGAATGCGTAAATTCTTATCTGTTCATTATTAATATAGACTTTGGCATAGCACTTTTGTTTTATTCTCTACTTTTTTTCATTTAACAATGTGTTTTAGAGGTATTTTCATATTTGTATGTTAAACATTTATTTTTATAGCTATATAATATTTTTAATGTATCATAATTTACTTAACTATTCCCTTCACTGTGATAGTCAGAAGTTGTTTACAGTCTTAATAAATGTATCACTGCATAGGCTAACCATGTACAAATGTCACTTTATATGTATACAGGTTTATAAGTTTCCAGAAGTGGAATTGCTGTTGGATGGAGGGTTAATATGTTTGTAATTTTACAGATATTGCTCAATTGTGTTTTTTGAGGGTTAAACTAATTGGCTGATTCATCAGCAAATCCATGAGATTATTTCCAGATAGCCTTCATAGGGCAACATTACCAAGCTTTTGAATCTTTGGGAATCCTTTGTGTGAAGATGATTTCTCAGTATAATTTAACATTTGCATTTCTTATATCATTTTGAACGTTTAACCTATGTAAGAACCAGTTGGTTTTCCCATTTTGTAGATGTTTCCTTTGCTCATGTTTCTGTTGAGTTGTTGACTTTTTTTCCTTACCAGTTTCTAAGAGCTTTTCATAATTTAGAGAAGTGACTTTGTGATCAAAGTTGCAAATATATTTTTCCATTTATTTATTTTTTTTTATTTCCATTTACTTATTTATTTTTTTAGAGTATACAATTTGATGAATTTAGTAGTTATGCATAGTTGTTTAACTACACTATATTTGAGATAGAAAATAGTTCCTTCATTTTAAGTAATTTTTTCATCCCTTTAATCTCTTCCAACTTCTGCTCTAGGTAACTACTGGTCTGATTTTTTCACTATAGTTTTATCATTTTAAATTTTAATATAATGGGAACATAGGTAGTCTTTTGTGTTTTGCCTTGCTTAACATAATATTTTTAAGACTCAAATATGTTGTGTGTATTAATAATTTGTTCCTTTTTATTGCTGCACAGTATTTTCTAGTGTGCCTTTGATACAATTTGTTCATCAGGTGGTGAGCCCTTGAATTACACTTCCAATTTTTAAGCTATTATGAATAATGATGTTGTGAACTTTTGTGTACATGTCTTTGTATGTAAATAACATACTGAATCATATGGCAAATGTATGTTTAATGTTATATAATATTGCTATATTATTTTATGAAAGTCTGTATAAATTTGCATTTTCATGTACTATAAGAGTTTCAGTTGTTCCATATGCTCATATTTTGATATTGTTTGCTTTCTTAACCAGCCATTCTACTAGGTATCTAGTGGTATCTTCCTGTGACTGTAATTTGCATTTCCCTGATGATTAATGATGTTGTTGAACATCTTTCATGTGCTTTTGGCTATGTGTGTATTCATTATTTTCTCCTCACTGAGACACAATACCTGACACCACAACTCTTAAGGAGGAAAGATTTATTTTGGCTCATAGTTTGTAGATGTTTCAGTCATTAATTGGCTGGCTCCAAGGCAGGGTGGCATTCCATAGGGACATAGCATAGGAGAAAGAGCTCATGGCATGACACCAGGAAGTAGAGATCAACGAAAGGAGGAGGAAGCTATATCCTTCCAGGCTTCATCCTCAGCAGCGTACCTCCTTTGACCAGAGTTTATTTGCTGACCTCACATTTAGCTATAAACTCATCAGTGGACTAATACATTGTCCCCATGTCCCACATAATCATGTCCCCATGATTCAATCACCTTTTAGAAGCCCTACCTATGATTACATAAGGCGTTGGTGGGGCATCTAGATATAAACCATAGTAGTGTGCTTATTGGAGGGTGTGTGTGTGTGTGTGTGTGTGTATATATATATATGTGTGAGTGAGTGAAAAGTGTGTTCAGCTTTTTTGCCCATTTTTAGATTGGGTAGTTTTTTGTATGTGTGCTTATAATGGAGTCTTAAAGATTGCCTCATTCTGTAGAGAATCCCCTTTTTTATATACGTTTTGCAAATGTTTTCTTTCAGTCTGTGGTTTGCCTTCTTAATTGTCTTTTATACACCAAATGTTTTTAGGTTTTTTCTTTTTTTTTTTTTTTTTTTTGGTTTTTCTCCGGCACCGGGAACCGAACTCACGACCTTGCGCTTGCCAGGCAGGCGCTTTGCCGCTGAGCTAAATCCCCAGCCCCCAAATGTTTTTAGTTTTGATGTTCTGTTTTGTTATTATGTTTAGGTCTGTGATCCATTTTAGGTTAATCTTTATGGATGTTGTAAGTTAAGGGTCAAGATTTTTGCCCCATAAAGTTAATTCAGTTGTTGCAGTACCATTTGCTGAAAAGACTTATCTTTTCCCCATGGAATTATCATAGCACCTTTGCTGAAAATTAATTGCCCATAAAAGGCAAAGGTCTGTTCTGGAGTTTGGACTCTGTTGTATACTGTTGCTCTGTATGTCTGTTCTTATGCCCATACAACATTGTCTTAGTTTTGGTTTTATAATAAATCTTGGAATCAGGTAGTAAAATTCCTCTAATCTTGTCCCTTTTACTACTTCTACATCTTTCATCTTTCTATATTAATTTTAGCAGCAGCTTGCCATTTCTTACAAAAAAAAGATACTCACTGGAACTTTAATTGGGAATGCCTCAATCTATAGAATCATTTGGGCCATTTATAATATTGAGTTTCCCAGTTCATGAATATTGAATTTTTTGCAATATTTTTAATTGTAGTTTTAAAAACTCATTTACTAAATTTATTCCTGTATTTTTATACTATTGTACATTTGTAGTTATTTTTTGCTA